ACCTTTCTTCAACAAATCTGCAAGTTGTTCTTCACTTCGACAGTATCCTAACTTCAGTTGGCCTTCACAAACCAACTCCCTCAAGTAATGAAATATCATCTCTATATGTTTGCTCCTTCCATGTGCAATGGGATTCTTTACAAAGTTAATAGCTAAAATATTGTCAACCAAGAGCGTAACAGCTATTTCTTCATTACTGCTCAGCTCCTTTAGCAGATTCATAAGTCACACAGTCTGATACACACACATTGACACATCGATATACTCAGTCTTACAAGAAGAGAGTGCAACCACAGATTCCTTTTTAGAGCACCAAGAGATTGGAGATCCGCCGAACATAAAAGACATAACAAGTTGTAGACTTTTGATCATCCTTATCTCCGCACCAATTGGAATCTATATAACCGAGTAACTCATAATTTTTGCCCGTATCAGCTGCGGGAAAGAGAATTCCACAGCCAAGAGTTCCTTTGATGTATCTTAGGATCCTCTTAATTGCTGTCAAATTAGAAACCTTTGGTTTCTCCATGAATCTACATACAATAGCGACACTAAATGCCAAATTTGACCGCGTATTGCATAAGTAACGCAATGATCCAGTCAACCTCCTATATTGAGTTGGATCCACACGTTGCTCATCTTCACTTTTGGACAGCTGCAACCTTGCTTCAGCTGTTGTCATGGCAGCATTACAATGCTCCATATCACACTTTTTCAAAATCTTAAGAGCATGCTTCCTTTGATTCTTAAGCAACCCTAATTTTGACTTATGGAACTCTATGCCAAGAAAGTAAGTCATGATACCAAGGTCTCTTATTTCAAACTCTTCCATAAGCTCACTCTTGAACTTAGAAATATTCACTTCATTGTTGCCCGTAATTAATAAGTCATCCACATATAAGAAAAGTATAATCACTTCTTTGCTTGCATCCTTCTTCACATAAACACCATGTTCAGATTCACACTTCTTGAAGTCAACCTCAACTAGAAATGCATCTATGTGTTTGTTCCAAGATCTAGGTGTTTGTTTCAAACCATGGAGCGTCTTCTTCAATTTGTAGACTCTTCCCTACTAATTCTTCACCATAAAACCAGGGGAATGCTCTACATAGACTTCCTCCTCAAGTGGACCATTCAAAAATGCAGATTTTACATCCATTTAATACATTGACCAATTATTGCTATTCGCAATACCAACAACCAGCCGTATATTTTGCAATCTAGCCACAAGTGCAAACACTTCATCATAGTTTATATCTTCTCTTTGCAAAAATCCCTTCCCTACTAGTCGAGCCTTATGCTTGACAATTTCACCTTTTGGATTTTCCTTCACTTTATAGACTCATCTCTGGTGGAAACCGGTTTCCAAGAACAGGGGAACCGGTTTCTGCTTCTAGAAATTCAATTCCAATAGCTTCAGAATGTAAGAATCGCAAAGGAAACCAGTTTCCTTCTATTGGGAAATTAGTTTTTGCTGCTGTCATGTGAATTTTTCTGCTGTCAAACAGCATCAACTCATCCACGACCACAACTCGAATGATCACGATCTTCTTGCTACTCACATAAAACAACTTGTAGCCTCTGGTAGGATGATAACCAACTAGCAACATTATCTCTCCTTTGTCATCCAACTTCTTTCGAAGCTAACCCGAAATATGTCAAAATACTATCAAACCGAAAACCTTCAAATGACTCAAACTTGGTTTATGACCAGACCATACCTCTTCTGGTGACACTTTGTCCAACTTCTTAGTAGGGCACCTATTCAATAAATAGGCAGTTGTAGATACGAATTCACCCCTTAGTTTCTTCAGCAAGTTTTTTCCCTTCAACATGATACGAACCATATTCATTATCAAACAATTTATTCTCTCGGAAACACCATTTTGCTGATGCATATAAGGTGGTACAACCTCACGCACTATACCCTTAACATCACAATAATTCTCTAACTCACTCGAGGTATACTCGCCTCCACCATCAGTTTTGAGAATTTTCAACTTTTGACCACTTTGCCGCTCTGTCATAGATTTAAAATGTTTTAACACATCAAAAACCTTATCTTTCCTCTTTATTAGATAAATCCATAGCTTCCTACTAAAATCTTCAATAAAAGTGACAAAGTACCTATTTTCTCCATACTAGTCGACTTGCATTGGACCACAAACATCAGAGTACACCACCTCAAGATGATGTTTAATCCTATGACCTATATCCTTGCTGAAACTATTCTTGTGTTGTTTTCCTTGAACACACTCTTCACAAATCTCAACTGGAATATTGATCTTGGGAAGCCCGGTCACCATACCATTCCTTTGTAACGCGTCGAGGTCTCAAAAATTAAGATGTCTAAGACGGTAATGCCACAATCACTCATCATGACTTACCGTTGTAGCAAGACACTTGTGCTCCATCAATTTTAACTATATATTGAAAGTACGATTTGCAGCCATGGGTGCTCTAAGAATTTAGACTCTGTTTCGGTCCAAAATGTGCAAAATCTTGTTTTCTATGCAAATTATGTAATTCTTCTCAAGAAATTGGACAATGCTCAAGAGATTACATTTAACTCCAGGAATTTATAAAACATCTTTGATCAATGAGTGACTCCCATCCTTCTTCATGATCAAAACATCACCCACACCATCGGCCGCTAAAGTGGTGTCATCCGCAAATTTTACTCTATTCTTCGTGGCTTGATTGATTTTAACAAAAAAAATCCTTCCTACCCGTCATATGCATTTAACAACCAGAATCAAAGTACCACTCATCACTTCCTTGAGCTTCATCTCGAACGGTTACCATTGCGTTTCGCTCTGAACGCGTTTCTGCATAATTTTCTGCACTGCAGACAATGCTGCCCAGCTTTTGACAGTTGCTACTGCTGTTGTCCAGCAACTTTTCCATGCCATAATCCTCCTCTGTGATCATGACCAGAAGTGTATTATCATCACCCACCTCTTTTCTTGCTACCTTAGCCTCATAACCTTGATTTTCCTTCGATATCACATTACATTCTCTTGCGAAATTCCCAAGTTTGTGACAATTGTAACACTTTACACCACTCTTGTCAATCTTTTTGGTGTAGTTACCTTGACCACCACCTTTTTAGCTGCTCTCTCCCTATTTCACCAACGAAGCCTTTAAATTTTGTGACTCTTTTCCACCAAAATTCTGAGAATTTGTCATCCCTTTTGAAGATCATTTTCCTTTTGATATCTTATTCTTCTTATTGAGTCGTGCTTGTAACACAATCTTCGCTTTGGCCTTGTCACTTCCTCTTTCATCCATCATTTGTTCACGAGCCTCCAATGAGCTTTGAATCTCCTCCTTGCTCATTGTAAGAAGATCCTTTGATTCTTTTATTGCAACCATTATCTTGTCAAATCTTGGTGTTAAAGAAAGCAAGATCTTTGCTACCATATTTTGCACCATCACGGTTTCACCGCAAGACTTCATTTGATTCACCAAACGTGTTATGCACGTAATGTAATCAATTACTGATTCCTTTTCTTCCATTTGAACTAATTCGAACTGACTCTTGTGAGTTTGTAACCTGAAAGCCTTTGCATTGGCCCCTTAATAAGCTTTCTTCAAGATCTCCCAAGCTTGCTTCGTCGACGTGCAATCTCCAACCTTTTCAAAGTTATCATTATTGATGCAAGAATGTATAAAGAAAACTGCTTTGTAGTCTTTCTTCTTCTCTTCCTTGAATGTAATTTGTTGTGCAGCTGTAGCTTCTGCCTCAATAGGTGTAACACCATCATTAATGACTTTGAGAACTTCTTAATACCCAAACAAAACATTCATTTGTTTGCATCATTTGTCATAGTTCATGGGGTTAAAAATTGGAAGGTTGGTAAGGATTCGATCACTGGAAACGGTAGACAAAATTTGCAGCGGGTTAATGGATCAGAACCAAGGCTCTTGATGCCAAATGTTGGAACATACACAAAAATGAAGTTGGTGAATTAATGGTGAAAGGTGAATAATTGGAGAAGATGAAGTTTGGAGAGAAAAATAGAGATTATTAGAGAGAGATAGAGAGTAATTAGGGAGAAACCAAAATTATTGGCATTAATCAACTTAAACATTACAAGAGGATTTTTATATGAGTGCTAAAATATAACAAATAAAACACACCCAAAGATGTTACGAACAGCAAACCAGAAAAACTAAAATTTGCGGCAGAAACCGGTTTCCATTAATGAGGAAACCGATTTCCTCTTCGAAATTTCCAGTTCCAGCAGAAGGCATAATAGCTTTTCAAATAAGCTATTTTTCAAAAACAGCTTCCAGAGGCTTCCAAATAGCATTTGACTTAAACTAAACATCCAATATGAATGATGTCAAAACTAGGTAATATATAGTATTTGTATATTGGACCTTATCTCTTTATGTCTAGGTTGCATTTTAATCTTAGGACACTTATAGAATAAGTCAAAAGCACTTGGGCAAGTTAAAAACTTAAAAAATATGCATTTTTGTGAAAAATCATGTTTGGAGTTGGCTCACCCACGTGGTAGGAATCGACTCCCTCTGAAGCATTTTTGAAAAGGAAACTCTTTGTCAAAAAGGAGTCGACTCCTAGGACCTTAGAGTCAATACACAACATGAAGGAGTTGACTCGATCGAGCTGTA